AAAAAGGGAGGGAAGGAAGAGAGGAAAAAGGGAGGGAGGGGAAGAAAGGATGGAAGGAAAAGGGAGGGAGGGAAGATAGGAAGGAAGGAAAGAAGGAAGGAAAAGGGAGGGAAGGTAGGTAGGTAGGTGGGTAGGAAAGAAGGAAGGAAGGAGGGAAAGAAGGAAAAGAGGGAAGAAAGGAAGGAGGGAAGGAAAAGGGAGGGAGGGAAGATAGGAAGGAAGGAAGGACGGGAAAGGGAGGGACGTTAGTTAGGTGGGTAGGAAAGATGGAAGGAAGGAAGGAAGGAAGGAAGGAAGGAAGGAAGGAAGGAAGGAAGGAAGGAAGGAAGGATGGATGGATAAAGTATGGAGATGAATCCACATGGTGTTGGTGCAGGCTGAACTGAGTTACATTTAGTTGGTTATCTTGTTGATAAAGTCAGCTGGAAAAGAAACATCCCTGCAACAGAATCACATTAGAGACCATCTAGTCCCTGACTTACAACCATTTCTTCAACAATTATCAAAAGTTACTATAGCACTGAATAAGTGGTACAATCAATCCTCGCAATTCCGTCTGTCGTAGCGTCTCTGCAGTCATGTGATCATACGGCCCAGTTCCAAACAGCCACGGCCCGGAGGTTTGGGCCCCCCTGTATTATATCACTCCTAATCCCTCTCTTCCTTAGACTAGAGCAGGGGTAGGCAACCTTGGCTCTTTTATGACTGGTGGACTTCATCTCCCAGAATTCCTGAGTCAGCCATGCTGAGGGGAAAGGGAGAGGTTTCCAAGCTGAGCCAGGCTGGCTGAGGAATTCTGGGAGTTGAAGTCCACGAGTCATAAAAGAGCCAAGGTTGCCTACCCCTGGACTAGAGGCATCCCTAGTTCTCTCAATCCCTCCAGCCCACTAATCATCCTTGTTGCTCTTCTCTGCACCCTTTCCAGGGACTCAACATCTTTTTTATATCATGGTGACCAAAACTGGATGCAGGATTCCAAGCGTGGCCTCACCAGCACTGTATAAAGCGGCATTATCACTTCTTTCGATCTTGATACAAGGGCAATTCGGAAATAAACCTCCGTTTGGTTATCCATGACGGACACTCGCAGATACAGAATTTTTATTATACACATTAGGAAACTACGACATGACGTTACTTTTCGACATAATCATCATTCAAATTGAAGCGCTTGTCGTAACATCTTACAAGGTTTGAAATTCCTTAGTTACTCGTCGCTCGGTGCCAAATTTGGCTATAGGGGGGTGTGTGTGATCAAAAACATCCCAACGGAACTGCTTCAAAAGTTCTTGGGTGTGCATCTAGCGGTGTGCGAACGAGCATTGTCACAAACCAACGCCACACCGGAAGTCCGCAGGCTCTGACGCTTGTTACGGATGGCTTGTCTGAGCTTTCGTAACGTTTCACAGTAGGCATTTGAATGGATGGTCGAAACACGCTCCATGAACTTCACGAGGAGTTACTCCTTTGGCATCTTCACATTTGGCGGGATTTTCTATGGCGCCACTTCCGGTGTGGTGTTGGTTCAGGATAATGCTCGCCCGCACACCGCTAGACGCACCCAAGAACTTTTGAAGCAGTTCCCTTGGGATGTTTTTGATCCCCCCCTCCCCATACCCCAGATTTGGTGCCCAGCGACGATGACTAAGGAATTTGAAACCTTGTAAGACAAAGAGGGAGTCAAGCTATTCTCCAAAGCGCCTGAGGGCAGGACAAGAAGCAATGGATGGAAACTGATCAAGGAGAGAAGCAACCTGGAACTAAGGAGAAACTTCCCGACAATGAGAACAATTCATCAGTGGAACAACCTGCCACCAGAAGTTGTGAATGTTCCAACACTGAGGTTTTTATGAAGAGATTGGACAACCATTTGTCTGAAATGGTATAGGCCAGGGTTTCCTGCCTGAGCAGGGGGTTGGACTAGAAGACCTCCAAGGTCCCTTCCAGGTCTATTCTGTTATGTTCTCCTGAAGGCAGGACAAGAAGCAACGGATGGAAACTAACCAAAGAGAGAAGCCACCTAGAAATAAGGAGGAATTTCCTGACAGTTAGAACAAGTAACCAGTGGAACTACCTGCCTCCAGAAGCTGTGAATGCTCCAACACTGGAAGTTTTTAAGAAGAGACTGACAGCCATTTGCAGGGGGTTGGACTAGATGATCTCCAAGGTCCCTTCCAACTTTATTATTATTATTATTATTATTATTATTATTATTATTATTATTATTATTAT